CCACAATGTGAGACTCGCGGCGAGTCTTCCAATGAAGCCCGCACCGTTAAAGTGAAATACACGGGGAGGCTCCGATATATGTCTAGAATGTTGCTTTTTAATTCCACAGCCGCAGTTAAAACTTTTTTTCCTATCTGATCGCGCACCAGGAATGTACCAGATCTGACACGTTTCTCGGACGAAGTTCATTCTTTAAGTATTTGCCATGCATTCTTTAGTAAGTATGTATTTCCTGCATTTCAGTTTACAGTCAAATGTCATGAGAACTTATTGTGGGAGATAACGAACAGCGGATTCTAATAATAATAAAATATAAAAATAAAATATAGAAGTAAAATAATAGGAGAGATTTGAATAAAAATTCAAAAGATATAGAATTTATTTAATTTATAACTTTACAAATTTATGATTCCATAAAATAAATTCGTATCGAATACACAGCACGCACGCATACTTATACATTATAAGTATACGTACATGCATAAAATTTAATTTTTCCATCTTTTCCTAAGATATGGGTAATTTTCTATTATAATTATTGAAATTAATTACAGACCGTACTCTTCATTAAAATTCTCAGTTTTTTTAGATATTATAATCTTTCGAGCTAAAGACGTGATTATTGGAATTTCGTATGAAGGCTAAACTTTTTAATTTTCAATTACATTCATTATGAATAATTAAAAGGAATAAAAATGGAATGAAAAGAAATCAGAATATTCAGCGTTCTCAAAAAGTCTCAAAGTCTGGTCTCTAATATCGGCGATTGAAAATGTACAGCTTGATGGATCTGGCATCGATAATTCCACCGCTTGTTCACTCGTTTCGTACGACGGTCAACGACCCCCTTTGTCAAGGAGAATCGGCGCGACGTATTCTCTTCGGATTTTCTCTGTGCGGAGCGTACGCGGGCATCCCTTAATAAACCGGAAGGCGGCCTGCAGTCCCGCCTCGTGCGGGCGTCGCGGCGCGCTTGGGCGCCGCGTCGTCGCGCGTCGTCCCGCGTCGCGACGCTCCCCTGCGTTCGTGTTCGGTGGGGGGTCAGGTCGGTCGAACGGGAACGGGTCGGTCGAACGATCGAAAGGCCCTGCTCCTCGGCTCAGTTGTAGCGCCGACACCCCGGCATACACGAGGTCGCGTCGTAGTTTTAAAGGCACACTCTGTACAAACGTAGACACGCACGCTCTATCTTCCGTATACCTCCGCCTCGCCTGCGCCTTCGCCTCGCCTCGCCTTCGCCTACGCCTTCGCCTTCGCCTACGCCTTCGTCCTCCGCCTTCGCCTCCGCCTCGCTACGTAGTGAGCAACAGATATTTAACCGTGCACGTTGCCATAGAAGCGATCGCCTCTCCGACCTCGTAGAAAGCGAAAATGCAGCGTCCGGTCGTCGGTCACTGGAGAAAAATCCTACTGCTCGTGTATAGTTTGCCATTATTTTCATGTAAGTGAACGCGCGCGCGCGCCCGCGCGCTCGCTCGCGCTCGCGCCCGTTTATCCCTCTCGATAACAAACATCGACACCCTTCCCGCCGCCACGCGATCCTATACCCCTTATATACTATTTCCCCAATCCCCCTTCCCCCAATCCTCCCCCTCCCCCTTTGAGGATTCATTGTTATTACGAGGGGTGGTCGCGCGCCGGCGGCCGAGCGATTCTGACAGGATTCGGCTCGTCGTCGGGCGTCAACTCGTCCTTCGGACTCGGATCACGTTTGAGAATATCCCTCGAAGGATCTCTGAAACGCATCGATCAAGTCCGTCGATTGACTCTATGATATTTTTTTAAGGACAATATTTTGATATTTTGATTTATCGAACGCAATCTTCAGACCCTTTTCTTATTTTTAGCATTAAATTGTCTTGCCAAATTGACAATGAGTGCCTTTATTTTCTCTGTGAATGACGTCTGCTCGAGACGTTAAATGAAGAATAAGGTTCTCCATTATTAGAATGACTTGCGGGAAAAAAAGCTTTTTATTTTTGTTTGCCCATTTATTGACGTCTGAATGTGCCTGTTGATAAAGAATCGACTCCAGATTGATCAACACATCTGTAAATAAGAGCTTGGGAAAGGGGATGATTGGTGGGAACTTAAGAAACATCTTGGGATTGGTCTTATCTCACTAGCCGTAAAGTAACCGTGTATCTTTTTACACCGAAGGGGATCGAATGACGCAGAGAGTTCTGAAATTTTCCAGAATGTTACCATGGTAGAAATTTAACATATGTAATTCTTTTTTTTTCAAATATTAATTAACGCCCTTCGCTATACAAGATGGACACGATTCTGTTTCTCTCGTAGAAATTGTTGTATTGTTTCAGTTGACGACACCACAGAGCGGAGGCTGCAGATTATTCCTCATACAATTCAGTACTCTGACAATATTACACATTTTGCACTTCATGACGTGTGACATATGTCTCGGGTTAATTGTTCAGTGCACCATAACGTGTTACCGCGACGGAGAATAATTCTACGCCACATTCCATGGGACATTTTCCGGAGCATGTGTGAAGCGATCATCGTTAGCAAGTCACCGTTTGTCCGATATACTATACATATAATACATATATTTACTTCAAATTAATCATTGCGAAAATAACATAAGTCTAAAACTCGTAGCACAAATTATCGATATCGCGCTTTCAGACGTGGAATAAAATTTAGAACGATAATATCGAGACTTATGTTGCTTTCAAAATGATCGATATTTATATTTTCAATAAATAGCGTCGCGCTGCAAAATACAAATCGTTCTGCGAAATAAATACTCTTTCATTGTTCTAAAAACTTAGTGTATACATATTGACTTTGCTACTTTTGTCGCAGGAAGTCCGACATGAGAATAACAATTCACACGATTCTTCAATATGGAATTGAATAAAAATAGAACACTTGAATTCGTGTACATGAGCTCCTATCATTCATACCACCCACGTAGAATTACTACAATGTACATTCACTATAAATCCTCAATGGCCTCCATTTATTTAGACACGTACAAAGGCGCACACGTACGCATACTGTTAATATATGTCGATACTAATGAAACTCTAAACAATCTAGCCGCCGTGTAATTTTTACCGCCAAACCATTTCCGAACGTCTTGTCGCGTATTTTAGGTCATTTCGTGACATTTTCTTTGATTGCAGGTCGTTTTTGTCACGAAACGCCATATAATCAAATAAGTAATGTGACTTAATTCGACCTAGTTTATTCGGGCTGGAACGCTATATGACATCGTTAATACGCGAGTCCATTATAAATTTAAGAGCGTTCATGAAACTGAAATAAAAATCAATAGCACAAATCATAGTTTTTTTATTCACGCCGCGAAAAGAGATAAAGCGTATTTGTATCAACCAAATGTACAATTCTATTCTAATATCAGATCGATAATGCGTTATGACACAATAATATACACGGTGTATATGTATAAGAACACTTTGTCAAACGTTTTGCTCACGATACGAACTTCATACACGAGTCGGTTACCGCGAAACTAGAACTACGCTCGTCCGGCGTGAAAGGTAATGTCAAAGGAAATGCTCGACATTGCTGCTTCCCGAAATTCCAGCAGACAAAAGCTCGCGACAATGGTCCTCCGTTATCTTAATCGTTAATCGCGGAATTCCGGCTTCTCGAAATTTCATCGTTCGCCAGTCCTTAACAATGGTTTGCGATTCGATTATTATCCGAATCTCACAATAAAGCAAGAATAATTCTGCTATTTTACGGAATCCGTTCAAACTGTTAGAGTTTGACAGATGCAATTAACAAGTTCGCAACGTGAGAAAATCTTTCTAATGATATGATATCAAAGCAAATTATAAAGTTATTAATTTCCTTTAGATGAAAAGATATATGATATCTCTGAATATATTTCACTTGCTTTATTTTAGAGCGCATAAATAGAGCAGGAAATTTTTAATATATATAAATATATATAAAATAATAATATTAAAATTA